CTGGTTCGACGTTGCATGTTGTAACATGCACTGCGTCTTTCCAGTTAATCCCAAGTATAATCTTTATACCGTAACCTTAATTCGGATCTCCGTTTTGAATCACTTTATTTCTCGAAAATAACCTAGAACAGTCAAGTGCGTAATAATGGACTTTAAGTAGAGAGATTTTTAAAAAACTTGTTCGATATATTTATCGAGAAGCTTGTAAAAAAAATCTTCAATTTTTTTTCTCGATACGTCCTATACGTGCATATGTCAGAGTGCACGTATTTTTTATGTTTAAATTTGATATTTCAATGAAAAACAATATTTCTCGATATAAATATTTGCGAGCTCTAAAATTCACGTGTACAACTATTCTATTATATGCTATATTTTTTTTCACTCTCTAATGGTTAAACGAAATTTTCCAATAAGCTGCTGCTTGTTTACGAGAATGTGAACAGTTCTCGTCATAGAAGCGTTTAATAAATGAAAGAATTTCCCTCTTGATTGGCGTTTTCACGACGCGCCGGACACGATTCCCGTCTTTCTGCGCATAAAGAAGTCTGCCTGGCAGTGGTTTAAGAATTCAGGCCGGAAGTGCACACAACGCAGGAGTCGCAGCTTTCGAAGACGATCGTAAAACGTCCCGCCAGATCTCTGCCGTTTCCTGATCCCCACCTTGGGTATCCCTCGCCGAGTAGCTTCGCCGAGGCACTAACGAGCGCTCCTAGTCGACGAGAAAGTTCAGAGGCGCCTGTGCGCGGCAAACCTCAGCGAACTGAATTCTGTGGGTATATATCCAAGTACAAACGACGCGTCCGTTAGGAAATATTGAGAATAATTGAAATTTCTCTCTTTCTCTCTCCTGTAACTTACGCATAATATACTCCTTTCTACAATCTGAAACCACGACATTGATCGCTTTAATCAAAAATACAAAATTAGTTTCTGTCTCAAAATCAGAAAAAATTCTTCCTACCGTGTGCGATAAATTTTTCGAGAAATTTTACATGCGAGGTATACCGAAACTATCGTGAGAAATATATATACATAAATGACTCTGCAACGTATTATCTTTTCCAGAATAGGACAGCCATTAGGATATTGTGGTGCTGAAACGGTGTCATACTTTGAGGCAAGAAATGCAACGGAAAAATAATGAATTATCACAAATCTGAGAGAGGGGAAAGAAAGCTGTAAGATTTTAAAAATAAACCCTTTTCTTCTAAGAGTTTTAAGACTATACTGAAAAAAAATGTCTGAGTAATTGGAATTTTGGTTGAAAATGAAGAGAAATAAAAATTTCCTGGTTAAATCTACTAAATTCACGTTATCTCGAGATAACCAGAATTCTGATCGATGTAATCAGAATCTTTCGAAGTATTCGGAAGTGCCAAGTGAACAGCCACCCTTTGAAGGTTAGCAAAAATCAAGTCGCAGCAAACATATACATTTAATAATAAAACTATCGAGAGAGAACTCGGCCGAAATATTAAAACAAAGTGGCAGGGGGAAAAGACACAGAACTACCGAACGCGAGCGGAAGCGCGCCACGGCTCTCGTGCCAAATTCTGAATTCCCTTCCACCTCGTGGCCGTTTTCGCGGCCGTCAGCCGTGCATGCGCGCCCCGCGTTCGAATAAGACGTGTTCGCGTCGCCACGACCTCGTCGAGTAAGCAAGGACATTCATTGGTCACAATTCATCCGCCGTGCCTTGCCTAAGCCAATCGTAACCTCGGCCGGTGTTTTTCTCCGTCCTGGAGTCGCACCGTCGTCGTCGTCGTCGTCGTCGTCGTCGTCGTCGTCGCGTATTCACGTTGGCAACTTTGCGACGCGCAATCGGCGATATCGGCGCCGCGAGACACGCGTACATCGCGTGCACGCTAGATACACGCAATGTACGCGTAGAGCGTGGATTCGACTCGAGCGGCGACGCGCGGTCGTTTCCGCGCATTCTCGCGCCGTGTCCCGCCGGCCAGTTAAAAGTCGTCTCCATGCCACCCGGTTCGACTTAGCCGCTCTCTCGCGGCACTAACAACGACCGGACATTTGCGCCGGTCGCGGCGAAATATCGTCAACGGGGAAATCCCATCGCGCGCGCTGCGTCAGGTTACGTATTTGAGGCGGCGCGGCGCGCGGCGTTTCGTCTCGATCTCATATATATACGCTTGTACCTTTTACATCCTGTATTGTATATGTAATAAAGAAACTTTAGTTACTATCGTTTCTCATTGCGATCGCTCGCCATCGATCTGCAATGGAAAAAACCCTTCACGCGCGGAGGTTTTCCATAATAAACGATCGAATAATTTCGCTACGGGCTTCGGAAATGAAATAATAATCACGAAGGTTCGCATCGATTCGAAGCGTTATCGAGTTTCTGAAAGCTCGATAAAGTGCTAAACAATAATATAGACTACTGCATCGAAAGATAAAGTTTCTTAAAATTGCGTGAAAGGAAGCGGAGGGAATATCCATCCAGATACATATCTATCTTTACGAGATTGTTCTTCTTTTTTTTTTTCCGCGCGGTTTAATAAGTTAAAGAAGCGCGCCGGTACGATATCGCGAGCTACGCTGAAAATATCTATACTCCGACGCGCCCCGCCATTTCCATCGCCGTCGCCGTCGCCGTCGAAGAGAAACCGAGCTCGGTGCTTTACGCGCCGGCTCGGAGCCGCGTCGTCGTCGTCGTCGTATACGTGTAGGCAACACGGCTCGCTCTCGGTCTCTCCGAGACCTCTCGTAGCCCGCGCGCTCTGCCTCGCGGCCGCATACGGAATGACGCGCAAAATTCGCGGAATCGGTCGACGCGGGGAGGTCAGCCGATCGTAGAACGACGGCGCACGTCCTCCGGCGTCCTTTCGCCGTCGCGGCGTCCCGATGACGCGCCCCTTTTACCCGATAGGGAATAAAAATGTTCCCGGTGAATTTTCTTAGGATGCGCGCCGTATGGAACATGGCTCGCGCGTTGTCTGTCCTTTCCCCCGTCCCCGGCCGCCCGTCGCCACGCCGCGCCGCGCCGTGCCGTCGCTGCTTGCTGGATGGCTGGCTGGCTTGGCTGGCTGGTTGGCTGGCTGGCTGGCTGGCTGGCTCGGCTATACGAGCGAGCGAGCGAGCGAGCGAGCGAACGAGCGAGCGAATGAGCGAGAGCCGAGACCTCCACTCTCTCTCTCTCTCTCTCTCTCTCTCTCTCTCTCGGGCTCTCTTGAGCTGCGCGCCGTATACAGCCAGTCAGTGGCGAGTTTCGAACCTAGTGGCGTTAGGCCGATTCCCTCGTGTTCGGGGGCCCCTGCACCCCGGAGGTGTTCTTCCCCGGTGAAGGCTGCCGCTCTCGGCGCTCCCGACGTACGTCCGAACGTCCGAAGGTCCTCTATACGCCTTACGTTTTTAAGGCCGCGCATGAAAATTTACTCACGGACGCGCTCGCTTCTCTCTTTGCCGTCCTTCTCTCCGTTTCTCCCCTTCTCTCTCTCTCTCTCTCTCTCTCTCTCTCTCTCTCTCTCTCTCTCTCTCTCTCTCTTCGATATCCGACACGCGAGCGTCGCTTCCCGGCGATTCGAGCGTATTTTCGAAATCTATAACAAAGCAGATTCTCCTTTCGAGTAAATTAATTATGTCATTCTCATTTCAATCATCTTGCAATAATTCCATGTTAATTTCGACGCAATATCGCGAGCGTATATCGATAAATAATATCGCGCGGAGCGAAAGAGAATATCGAACATATTATTTATACACACAGACGCGCGCGCGCATATGTGGCACATATACGTGCAGGCTAGATGGATAGATATATTGATGAATATTAAAGGTAATTGAACAATTGGACTCTCTCGACGAATCTTTTTCGATTTTCGCGACGGAGAGGAAAACGTTCCGCCGCCGTTTTCGCGCGGCAGTACGCTTCGCGAGCGCGTGATTACCTTGCCGGCCGCAAGGTCCTGATGGCGTCGCGCAGTGGCGCGATTGAACCGTGCTATCTCGGTCGTCTCGTAAGATATTAAGCGGCACGTCGTCGCGGCGCGATCCGCGCGCGGGCTGCGCGCTCGCAAAGTCGTTTTGAGTTTTTGCTGCGTCGCTGAAATATTTCAGCGACCGCGTCGCCGATCCGTTCTCCGATAACTTTCATCGACCGGCCCGCACTATCACGGACTTTCTCGAACGATTTTTCTCGATCGCGGGGAGCGCGCGGAACTTTCCGAGAGAGAGAGAGAGAGAGAGAGAGGATATTTAAAACGCGGATTCTCGAGAGAATCTCATTCTTTTATTATTATGTACCCGCGACGCAACCCCTCCTCGTCCATCTCGCGGCGCTAATGAGCGCCACCAATCATTCGACATAAAAGCATTGTTTACACCTGAAAAGCTGCGCACACTTCGACAATGAATTTCCTTTCGCGAACGGTCAGAGTGACATATACACAGTCCTACGATATATTAAATCCGATATTAATTATGTAATTAATTTACGCGCCGTGAATGAAACGTATCCTTCCATTTATATCAATTACATCAGGCCGTTCGAGGCGCACTAACAATATGGCATTGTGTGCGCCCTGCTGCGAGCGATCGACTTTTTCTCTCTCAAAATGTCACGTTAAGAACGCTGCGAGCATATGTTACCGTCACATCGAAACATAATTCGAGCGGGTTCGTTCTCTTTCTTAAAAAAAAAGAAAAAAAAAAGAAAGAAAGAACCGTGTAGATTGACGCCGATTTCGCGAGAGTCGTGATAACGAATCGTTTCTAGACGATCTGGCGGCGCTACCCGAATTACGATCGTACGTCGCATCATAGTGTTTCTGCGTCGATACGAAATTCGATGGACACAAAGCGCGCGTTGCGCGGCAAGAACGGTGGCGCTTGGACGCCGGTCTACGGCACTGACGTTCGTGTCGGAGTGCAGGTGGGCCGAACGCCGGCGGAAACGGCCGAGCGCGCGTTCGGGGGAAAACCGAGCGGCGCTACTCGGCGAGGAGTGTTGTTAGAGTATTCAGTAATGCTTTGCATGGCCAGCTAGCTGCTGTCGTGTGTGTCGATGACAGTCGCGTTGTCATCTGTTCGAAGTGACCGTGCGATGTTACTTGAGGAGCTAACCGGGCTACCGGCGGCCGACACTTAACGTCGCGCAGTGCGTTTTTTTCGTGAGACTGTGAATTGCATATAATCGAAGAAAAGAAAGAAAATAACGTAACGCTAACGGACACGTATCGAGAAAGAGAGACGAGGAGTGAGAAAAGACACAGTGTGAGAGAGCGTGAAAGACAGCGAGAGAGAGAGAGAGAGAGAGAGAAGAAAGAGAGCGAGAAAGAGTGGGAGGGAGAGAGAGAGAGAGAGAGAGGACGGGCATTTGCGGAACAGGACTTCATCGTGCCCACGGCCGAAGTAACGTGGAACTTCGGTTCCACGTACCGCCGCCGTCGGTCGGTTCCGGCTACTTTTCTCTCCGTTCTCACGACGAATCTCCAAGTCACGCGGAGAGCGAAGGAAAAAACGGACCGTCGCGGTAGCACCGTGCGCGGCAGTGCAGCAGCAGCGTACCAAGATGCTGTCGTCAGTGTCAGCGAAATAATAATGTGGTGCGACGTCAGTCAGGTGAGTTTCGCGCGCGGTTCCGCGCGCATCGTACTCTCTTGCTCTCGCGTGCGCCGCTCGGCCGCCGTCCTTTTTTCCCGCAACCCCCTATCCCCTCCTTCGGAGCGCACTCCCGCGCTCCCCCGTGTGCGTTTCCCTTCCTACGGCGTGTACGACACGCGTGCCGCGCGTTTCCGCGTTACGTGCCGGTCGAGGAGAGCGACGAGTTACGTGATCGCGCTCTGTGCTCTCAGCGGCGCGATCGCAAGAGGAGCGCGCGCGACTCGAGTATTTTCCTCGAGTTGGGACTTTTTCGGCTTTTTTTTTTTCTTCTTTTTTTCTCTTCTTAGAACGTCGTGAAGATCTCTCTCTCTCTCTCTCTCTCTCTCTCTCTCTCTTGAGGAAAAATTTTCAACGCCCGACGTCTCGCGCGCTCTCAACAATCCGTTCCGCGAATACCGTTGGAATTTCGCTGGTCGGAAAAGTTTCCTCCGTCGAGTGACTAGTCGGAGCTGTCTTTCTTTGAGTATAGAAAAAGGCGAACGCGCGCGGCAAAAAAAAGGGATAAGAAACGAGGACTCGCCGTTCGTTCGCGCGCCGCATCGCGCGCTTAAACGTGTCGTTCTCGAAAATCGATCGACGTTTCCGTGCTCACTCGCTCGCTTTCGGAAATCACGAGCGAAAAAAGAACAAAAAGAAAAATCTACGCGGCGAGCACGAGACTCTAACACGGCCCCCACGCTTAGGACGAACCAAGTGTCAGATTTGACGCGTGGTAACCTCGTGTTCGGTAGTTTGAATTCGAAGCGATCCCGCGTTTCCTTGGCCCGGCGGGGGGTGGCAGGAGGGCGGCCGCGAGAGAGGATGACGAGGCGAAGCTCGCCGAGGGGGAACGACGAGGTGGCTTGCGTACCGTGTGGGCCGTGGAGTCAGCGGGGAGCGCGCGTAGAGGGGGGGGTGGAGAACGAGCGACAGCGGCAGCTTGATAGCGCGGTGGGCGCTTTGCGACGGGTGGAGGAGGAGGGAGAGTTGAGGAGGGGAGGGGAGGGGAAGGGGGGTACCCCGGAGAGCGGCGGAGGCGAGTGGGGAGGATGGAGCGCGCCGGCGGGTCGGGGAGAGGAAACCTAGCGTCGGCTACGGAGACGCCTGGTGGGGATACGGTTATAACCAACCATCAAGGGGCAGCGTCGTCATGGTTACCACGACGACAACAACCCGATCTGGTCTAGGGGGGTGTTTTTAAAGACATATTCGCTTTTGCTGCATCTCTCCCCCTCTCCCCCTCTTCCCCCGGTCTCTCTCTCTCTCTCCCCCTCACTTTCGTCCTTTTTCCTTTTTCCTCCCTCATCCTGTCCCTCTCTCTCTCTCTCTCTGCCGAGCGATTGTTTTTCATCACGAGGTCTTTGAGCGGCGCGAAATGTTTTGCGACAAAATCGAAGGAGAGGGGCGCGATATCGTCGAATCGTAATCCACGTAGAGAGCGCGCACGAGTCATAATTCTGTGCCATCCGAATTGTTTTCAGAGATATTTCTCACCGCGAAAGGTTACCGTCACATGCGTTATTTAGACCAACGAATCTGTTCGCGTCTTTGCACCGAGCTCGTGAAAGATTTTGCGAATAACGTTCCACCGAATACATTCCATATTCTTCGCGCAACGATTGTGTGTATATTGCGGGATACAAAATTGAATGTAAAACTACAATTTATAATTAGAAAATTATTATTCGCAAACTTCATTTGCCACATAAATGAGACTGTTAAATTTTGAAACTAATCAGAATGCTTTCCCTCCGTCTGTTATATCACTTCTTTTTTTTTTTAACTCCGACATTACCGCGTCAAAATTTTAACTCTTTTGGGCTAAAATTAGGAATCGATTTGTCACCTGCGGGTCGTCGGTATTGAAAGCAGAGATGATAATTCCCGATAATCATATGACACTCTTCGAGTGTTGATCACTAGCATACGATTTTGTTTGCATGACTTGCGAGTTCATTCTTGTGAAATTATACCGTAAAGATATACACCTCAACGTGGTTTGCTTTCAACGATACATTTCTATTGTATAATAGAGCTGTCCGAAACGAGATGAAAGAAACGTTAAATGTAGTGGAATTATGTTTGGATACTTTTTCAGACCATTCAGGCTAAATGATCCACAACGAAACGTGTAAACAGTATCTTGTACCGTTCAGGATAGGATCGAGAGGAATTAGCGAAAGATTTCGAAATTCGTCAACACTCTCGGAGGTTGAACATCTTTCAAAGTAAAATCGACACGAATATTGAAAACAAATGTCATGTATAGGAATATTTCTCGATATCTCGCTTACGTTTACGTCTTTTTAGAATTAGATAAGATTTGACTGTCGAGCGAGAGAGCAGATTAAGGACTTTAACAATGATTTTCATCGAACGTAGAGGAAAGTAATCGGTGATTTCTACTCGCCGACGGACGAGCGTCGTGGTTTTGCTTAAAACTGGCGTATAGCGAACGTAGAGCGGACGCGCCAAAATTTGGATGGCGATAAATCAGCGGTGTACAGCGAGTCTAGGGGATGAAGGTGGCGCGGGTACAGGCAGGGTGGAGGAGAGCAGGAGGAAGAGATGAGAAGAGAGGGTTTTTCGGCGCTTCCGACGGCCGGTGGCCCGATGACCGACAAAACCAGCCAGTTTTTCCACGTGGTTTCGTGTGTCGTACGCGACAAATGGTTGTCTCGGTATGCGCGTGTTGCCGGCGCATCGTTAAACTTGAACGGAAAAATTCGCGCCCGCGCTCTTAACCCTTCCCTGCCTGGATGAATCCCTCGTCTATTCAGTCACCGCGGCGCGGTGTAAACTGGTTCTAGAAACAGGGTTTATTATAAATTTAAAAGAGAGATTATTATAAGACCGTCCTTCAATATCCGACGAGCACGTGAAATACGAGATATTCGTAACCTTTGACTTTATAATTAAGTAATAGTATGTATGTGTTACGTAACAGTATAATAGTGATGGATTTTTTATCACTCGCTAAGCTCCCACTTTTCAGCCACTTTTTTTTTAAGTGGACCATTTTATAGCATTATTGGTCTGACTGGAAATATTGAGTTGGAATTTAATTGTTTATATTTAAATCAGTGAGATAATGCAATAAAATAATAATATTCTAAATAATGTTAGGGTTTGTCATAAATCCAGCCAGTTTTATATAATGTTACTATCATATTGTACAGTTAAAAATATTCCTTTTCGTATCGTAAGAGACACTAAAAAAGAAGAAAAAGAGTACTTGTAAATTAATTCGTCGTGAATATTTTTATCTCTAAATTAACCTTTAATTTTGAACCTTCAATAATAAATTGTACATGGTATTTATTGTAATTGTTTTAATGATTTATACAATCTCTCTGCACAAAAACATGCAGATATATTTTCACTCAATATTTAAAACAAGAGCGATAAACATTTTTAATATCAATTTAATCTCAATCATTTCCAATTATGTATTTCGGACTATAATTTTAATACGGAGATTGGATAAAAAAAAAAAGAACCAACCAATGCACATCGAATAAACTCTCAAAATATTCTTACCAGCCTTATGTGAAAATATAATCTGCATTTTTTCACATTAGCGCGCGTATATTTAGCTTCTTGCTGAGTCTCTGAATTTCGTCGACGATAAACAAACTCCAGTTTCGCGCAAACCGAGTGAGCATCACACCGAGTAACGCAGGCTAACTTATTGAACTTCTGCGTCGACCAATTTTATCGAAATGCGTATATAAACAGAAGTATCATCGATTCACCGGATACTGCAACGTATGTGACACGACTCCTCCGCGAAATCTATTTCTGCCCGCGATGTATTTCCGTATTATCGACGTAAGCGGCGTGGCGATACCGGACCACGCGTTTGATTTGATGCCGAGAGGCAAACCGCTGACCAAAAACGTGTACGCTAATCCCGTAATAGTCCGAGATTGCATATGAGAACGAATCTCGCTTTATTAATCGCTCGAAAACAGTTCGGCCCCCAAAAGTGATGAAGCGACGGTAAAGAGTGCGCGGAAATTCTTTGATTTTTATACCAATATTACATAATAAAAAGTCTCTCTCTTTCTTTCTCATACACACACACACACATATATATATATTTTTTAACGCAGTGTCAAATTATCGAGTAACATTAACTCCCTCGTGGTGGGAAGAAGTTTATAATGTATAACGGCGCGCGCTCGCAAAATCAGATCTCTCTTCCACGAGGGATGAACGCGCTAAGCGCGTGCTATACTCCGCGATGCATTATTTCGGATCGATTTCGGAACTCGCGTTCCCGCGCGCGTTTACCTTGGATCGCTCTGCTGCATATCGCAACGGCCCGTCGGCACGGCGCGCCGCCAGTCAGTACAAAGTGAGTCCAAGTTTCCCCTACTTCCCACCCTCCCTCCGTGCACCGCCGCCTCCTTCGTCCCGCCGGCCCTCGTGCGCCCACCATCACGGGCCATTAACGAGAGAGTTATCGACGCGCGATCTGTCAATAGGCTTCTCCCATTCATAAATTCGCCGGGCCGGCGTGCGGCGGTGGCCGCATAGTTTTGCCGCAGAAACCACGTGGCGGCGGCGGTGGCGGCGGCAACCACGAGACGAGGCGTACGAACGTACATACGGACGGACGGACACCTCCGTCGTTACGCTACGCGGCTGGGCTCCGCTCTAACCGCGTGATTTACGGCCGGCGTCCCCGTTTTAAATGCATGAGAAGCGGCCACGAGTTACCCCGGAGCCTGTTCCCGCGCGCGCGTGCCCGCTGATCGCGACTCGTAACCAAATTCATTTGTCTTCTTTGATCGCGCCAAGACCGGTCCTCCAAGACTCCTTGGATATAGTTTCCAGTGTAGGGTGACACGAGTTGACACGAGCGCCGTTCCATCTTTTTGTTACCCTCGTTGAATGGCGAGGAAGATAGAATGATGCTTCGTGTCACTAAATGCGTCCGTTGATACCGCATAGATAAATGAAATCTTGAGTGC